CACATCAGTTTCATTATTCCTGGCCAAGTGGTTAATGAGAAGAAGATTTTTTAAAAATTCCAATAATTTTTCACTAATTCATAATTATCTCCCCTTGGAAGAGGGTGTGGCCCTTCATTTGAACAAAATTGAATCCCCTTCACCCAAAGATACTTTGTGGCAAGTTTGGTTAAAATTGGCCAAGTGGTTCTTGAAGAAGAAGTTGAAAATGTAAAAAGTTAACGACGACGAGAATGACAACGAAAACTACGACAGACAACGGACATTTTGATCAGAAAACTCACTTGAGCCTTCGGCTCAGGTGAGCTAAAAAAGCATTTTTCTCAAGATGTGCAGAAAATCTCATTTTGATGCAGTAATCATTTTCAACTTTGAACTCATCTGAAAACAATTCATGAAAAAATCACTCCTGAAGAAATGTCTTTTTTCTGCACAATTGCAATGAAAGTTCTGAAAGTTTTGGGCTATGTATGACAGTTAAAATAGTTACTCCTTGAATGAAATGACAAAGAAGTCCAGTTCTGGTTAAGGACAGATGATACAAACAATTTTTTTCTTTCAAAAAGATTTAATATCATGCAATGTTTCTGGCTTTAGTGTAGAAATTTTCAGGAATATTTGATTATGTTTAATGGTACCAAACATGTTTAATTCTATTTGATATTGCAATATTTTTGTCATTTTGATATTCCTCTTAAAATTCACCTGGCTTGGTATATTTTTCTTAAGTTTATATTGTACTTTTAGCACCATGGTAACATATTCTGAAATTTATTTTCACCTGTAAACCTTTACTGAATGTGATTTGTCTATATTTGTATTTTCATTGAAATATTAGTAATATTTAGCTTTTCCTAATAAAATTCACCTGGCGTGGTATATTTTTCTTAAGTTTATATTACACTTTTAGAACCTGAAAATGCAAAATATAGAAACAAGACAGAGAAATTCCAGCACTGTTCATTAATTTTGAGTTACTTCCCTTGCCATCTAATTATTATTCACAAAGATCAAGAGTTTCTAACATGTAATTTACATTATTGGAAACAAATTATCATCAATATATTTGTGTAATAATTTTATTCATAGTTACCTTCACATTTATAGTAATACTTCAGCACATGTGGCATCTTTGCTATGGTAAATGACGACCTGTTGACTGTCTGCCCTTTTAGTTTACACAATGTATAACAAATCTATCACTGCTTTTCTCCTTGCATTATAGTTGATTCTGTCCTTTAAAAAACACATGCTTTTGTTTACCTCTTTAAACACTTTATTTATTTCCACTGCTTAGAGAATTCCGAACAGGAGATCACTCTCAATGACTGTTTTTAAAAATGGAAAAAACCTATGTAAATTCCTTGCCAATGACCTTAACACTGGTATGTTTTCTTTTTCCTTTATTATTATTTTGTGATTTTTTGCCTCTTTTTAATAAAAAGAAAAAATTTTGAAAGTTGCATTGAAATAGCTAAATAAAGCTACATGAGGTAGGTAAATAAAGCTACATAGGTAATTCTACCTTCGTAGCTGAATCTAGTGATTGTACTGGACCTCTAGACATCTGTATGCAAAGACGGATCCAGGTCCGCTGCCCCCTCCCCCCTTTGAAATTTTTGTACGTAAAATTTATATGTCCATTGTATCCTAAAATCAAGGAAAAAATCTCTTATTTGTAAGAACTTGTCAGCTTCCGGGGGCTTTGCCCCCACACCTCCATAAAGCACCTTGCCTTAGACCCACTGGGGCCTTCAAATGACCCTATCAATTACAATGTTTTCTTTTCTTTATTATTTTGAAAGGGGGGTGTTTTAGAAAAATCAGAAACTTAAATTATCAATTACAACTTTTCGTGATTACAAAAATGTGAGTAATAGCCTGATACACCTTATTATGATTACCAAGATCATGGCTTCATCCATGCATTAGTTCATCCGATTGTCACTGGACTCCTGATTATTTACAATTAAACGCCTGCTTAGCTAACAATCTATCTATCTATTTATAAAATGCAAATTTAGACTGTTGGTTAAACGTCTGTTTCATGCATACATTTCGTATCATAAGCTTCACACTTTTTCCGCTCGTGTCAATTTTCCCCGCGAAATGTTGAATAACGAGCCCGAGTATAAAACAATAAACGATTCAGTATATAGGTCCCTGGATTTACCCGAGTAATGTGTACATGTGTCAGAGATATCGAGTTAAAATTTTATGTTTGCAAGGTCAGCTTGTAAAGAAAATGGAACCTTAATTTATATACTTCAAACTTGTAACTTAATCACAAAATGACTGAAATATCGAAACCTTGGAATAAATGAAACATGGGAAAAGAAGAGCGCGTTCTTGATTCCATTGATGACAAAGAAATGCCGGACTTTAAACATAAGAATTTAAGGTATACTATAGTAGCTGGAAGAAGTCAGAGATATTAATTAATTATGGAAAAAAGCCATGCGTCTCCAAACCATAAATATGGAATCTAGCTGTTAATCAAAGTGTGCGTGGATATTTCCAGAATTGTAAATCTACAGACGGAGTACGTGTAGATGTTTCGAGGGCTTCTGGCTACAGCAAGTGTATAATCTATGATGGAGAACAGAGTGTAGACACTTGTAGGCCTATCAGCAAGCGACTAATGTAACAGACTGATTGTAGACGCTACTAGGTCTATTAGCAAGCGAATAATATGTAGTGGACAGAGTGTAGATGCTTTTAGGAGTTAACTGTAACATGCTTCTAGGTCTATCAGCATGATCAGCAAGCCAATAATCTGTATTAGAGTGTAGACATTTAAAAGGCAGAGTGCGGAGGCTTCTAGGCCTATCAGCAAGCAAATAATCTGTTACACACAGACTGTAGACGTTTCGACGTTTCTATAGCAGCCTGTAGCAAAAATATTCTGTTATACACAGAGTGTAGGCGTTTCTATAGGCCTATCAGCAAGCGAATATGTTATAGACAAACTTTAGACGTTTCGACGTTTATTTAGGCCTATCAGCAAGCCAATAATCTGTAATACTAGTAGACAGAGTTTAGATCATGGGCCTTCAATGGGGATTCACCGCGCTGCTACGGCGATCAACTTTCTACTGGGCTATGTCACACGGCGCGTAGCAATTGTTTACCCTGAAATAGAAATTTTTTGAGTGCAGTCTGTGAGACGTGTGACAGGGGTCTGGCTGCTATGAAACAAGTGTATATACTCTTTAATAGAAATATCAGGCACTTAACATGGGGGAGGGGGGTGGGTGGGTTGCAAGGCCCCCAACCCACTTTTTCCAAACATCCAAACATTTTTTTACTATTGAAAATACCCTGGAAATAGTTGAAATGAAACAAGTGTATATACTCCTTAAATATCAGCCCCCCCCCCCCCATTTTCCACACCACCACCACCACCACCACACACACTTTTTGTTGCAGTATAGTCAAGTAAAGGAAAGGGTAATGCAGTAGTGTATGAATAAAAATTAGTATAGAAAGAAGGAGGAACCTACCCCCCCCCCCCTAAAAAAACCCCAACTTTTTTGGCTCGTCAGTCAAGTTTTTTCAGGTTAGTTAATTTTTTTCCTCCCTGGCTGCTCCCCTCCCTCAACACACACTTTTTAAAACGTTGCTACGTCCCTGAGAACAGAGTGTACACGTTTTTAGGGCTATGAGCAAGTGCATGGACAACCTTTAACGGCTAGATGATCGAACATAAACTTTTCCGGGGCCATGAAGCAAGTATATTATCTAGATCTGTAATAGATAGATTATCTAGATCTGTAATAGATAGATCAAGAGCAACGTTTCCTAATTAATTGTGCTTTTTAATTGTATAATAAAACATACATTTGATAGACGGAGAAAAGACATTTTTATGTCTAAGAAGCAAGTATATCAGGTGCATGCCTATAGGAGAAGTAAGAATTACAAGTAGACCGTTCACACCCGCCTTGAGCCCTAAAAATAACACGAAGTCAAAATGGTACAAAGCAATGGACTATCAAAAACGTATCAGTTAACTTAAAGAAATCGAGACGAATTTATTTAACGTTAATTTATAACCCCATAGGATTTGCAATCCAATGCCATTTCTAAGGAACTTAGAGCACTGAGTAAAACACAAAGTTAGTAATCACACATGTACACTGAGTAAAAAGAAAAATTTGTCCCCGGGTTCATTAAAATATAAATTACTCAAACCTATCTTAATATATTCCATAAAATTAAATAACACGGTATTGTAATTGTTAAAAATTAACGGAACTATATTAACCTCAACAAATTACAGTTACCTTTCTTCCCATAGAAACTCCTTCGTTGTGATTTATACTCGTAAGTGAGCGTTAACATATTTATATGATTCCTTAAAAATGTGTATGATTACAACAATTTTACAAAAGTCAGTTACATCAAAACGCACGATTTTTCACCATTTACGACGTATAATGATACAACCATTCATCCACGTTCAATTAATGTCCAGGATTTTTAACATCATTTACAACTGCTTTTTTCATAAAAATGGAACTTTTACTTACCCTTAGATTTACTTACCATGTCACTGGTCATTTGCAAAATTATTTTGTTACAATAAAAAAAAACACACAAGTATTCTGAAGTTGATATTTTAAAGATGATTGAGGTTTCGATTGACAGCATCGATGTATAGCTTTTTTTTTTTGGAGACCAGTTCAGATCTTCCAACAATTTGTTGGACTTTAAACGGATACCAATTGCGCTCCGGTATATTATGCACACCTGTTTTTGTATTCACAAGAAGCAGATTTTTTTTTTCAAAAGACACCCCCCGATGCTACATGCTTGATCATAACAAGGAGTGCATGGCAGGAGTGCTGGATTGACAGGGGATGTTCACTCCTCCATGGCACCTGATCCAAACTCATGATTTGGAGGTCCGCTTTGGCGCTGCTCCTGATTTTTACTGTTTGAATGCATGATTTCTGTTCGTTATCTCCATATATTTAATTATTCAAGAACAAATTAAATAGTTGAATACATATTTAATATCAAAATAAATTTTGAAAAATACAAAATGAGAAACATAGAATGCCATGAAATAAAACTCTATTTAGAGTTACACTTGCAGAAAAGAAGAGTCTATACACCCTTCTATTCCATTAAACATTGACTTGTCCAGCAAGCCATGACAGATAAAGTCCATGACAATTATTTCTGGTAGAAAATAAATTAGAATATGTACGACGAATTAAAAATACCCTGATATATTTATATTATGCTGTTGAATATATATTTCCATAAAATCTAAAGCCAATGAATAATCTATTAACAAAAATAATGATACATGACTACCATATGGCACACACAGAAAAATTATATATAATAGTTATAAAAGCACATATACATGTATGTATGCGTTTTGGACGTAACTATGAAAAAAAAAAAGTGTTCTTGCTTCACAATTATCACGTCTCGTATACAGTATTTCAATAATTACAGAGCTCATAGATAATTTTATATCTACATAATGCAGGAATATACTTTTCAGAAACAAAAGCACAGAGTAAATAGTATTGCGTTGGTTTGTGCGTAAAGTAAATGGCTATGCTACGTAAGGTCTGATGAAGGAACCGGTTTCTTTCCGTTGATTTGGGTTTTTACTCAACTCCTCCTTTGTTTTACTGCCTTCGTCACTGTAGCCATTGGTAAAGGAAGGATTGTCATACTGCCGTTGTCTCGACCATTCGTCATACGTTAACGTTGGTGCAGCGTCTTGATTCTTAGGAATTATTTGTTGTTTATAATCATTCTGAAAAATAGTAACACACTATATTCTTACAAAAGGATGTAAATTTTTTTTGTGTAAAAATCTATTTCAATATATTGCAATACAATGACAAAAAATATCGTTCGCAATACGATTTTGTAATATCGATATATTAATATACATTTTTTTGTCATTAAATATAAAAATGGACTTATAAAAGTTTGTTATTAAGCCAAACAGTAAGTCAGAAGTTGTTTTGTGGTAAAATTTCAGAGCATAACTTAAATGAAATCAACAAGATTTTTTTCCGTGTTGGTTACTTATGTGTACATTCTGCATGTAAATTAAAGTAAATATAGTAAGAAAATGCCATTTTTATTACATTGAAAATATTGCAATACATATCGTAATACATTTAAAAATATCGCAATATATCGCAATACTGTACCCAGCCCTAGTGTACAGATATTTATATATCAATGCACTACGCGATATATAACTTTTAGGCTAGGCAAAAATGACAAAAATAACGTATTGTTATACGATTTTGTAATATCGATATATTGGCAATATGCTTAGATTAAGGAATTTTATCATAAAATATAAACAAAATATCGCAATATATCGCAAATCCCATTGTAAATTAACTTTACATCTTTATTTGAGTTATATTTGAAAGTCCTTGACCTACTTCTTTCTGTTTCTCATGATGAGACCTGACACAGTTACCAATGCCGAGAATAAGGATGAGGAGGACTAAGGCGGCCGATACCACGATAATGATGATTAAAGGAACCGGAAGTGTCTTATCTTCCTCCACTGGCTTCGGTTGGACTAAATAAAAATGTTCAAAGTAAAACTTGAGGATTTCGTTAAACAGAAAAGGGCAGTTATACACATAAATCCGAGATTCCTCTGACTCTAACTGCACAAGTCACAATGTAAAAGCAGGGGTTAGAGTCAGAGGAATCTCGGATTATTATACACAATGAAGTTTGGCAATCATTTTCCAATTATTTAATAATAAAAATAACAAAAGATTAACTTTGTCTTCTCTGAAGCAAAATTCACAATAATTCCTGTAATATTTAAATTAAACGTCTTGAATAGAATTCTTCCTGAAAAGAAGTTGCCATATATTTACCCAATTTCACACTATCTTTATCCAGTGTGAATGTATCCAGCTGACTCTGGGCTTTCAGCCTCTCTATCGAATCAGTCGTCCCACGTGATACGGTCTGCTGATCTCCCGCCATAATGATGTCATACTCCACTATCACACTACCGGGCCTACAGTGTAATGAATGAGAAACTTCTCAAATTTCAGAATTTAATTCACGATACACTAACTATGGTCTATGATATTTTATAAATTTGTAAATACGTAATTTCTTACCTGAATTTTATTATCTTTACGTCCAAAAATCCTGATATTGTGCTGAAGAGACTGACCAGCTGAAATAAATACGTTATTATCATGTGGGTGAAGTTCTTATATCTGCATTTATTTAATATTTCCTGTATATAAATGAACGTGTAACATGTTTATCTTTACAAAATAAAAATGCGTTTTACATGTAATATGTACTCGTATATATACCGACTACATCATCATTGGTCATGTTAGTCACCAGGCAAACAAGATTTCAACTCGAACACGTGTATCAGTGATTCAGTACATTTATATTTTAATGAGAAATTGCTATTATCAGTTTTCACTGATATATATGTTGAAAACAAAAAACTGCATTTTTTATTTGATTAATGCTGCACAAACGTTAACAATTCAACCATAACATGTTTTTGATATTTGTAGGTGTTCAAGGTGATGAAACGGTGATTGATAATGAAAATAATAACGCTCCATATTTAAAAGTATAATAGATCCATCTACAATCCCGGAAGTTTATCACTCTGCCTGTTTAGCTTAGAGGGGTTGAAAAGTAAAAAATGGAGTGTTTTTAAAACATGGTTACCAGCATCATTGAAACTTAAATGATGTACACATACAAAAAAGAGCGTTATTTCTTCTATCAGAATGAGTATAGTATAACCTACAGCCCTGTGTAGTTGTCCCTCCAGTGACGTGTACTCTGTACTCGTCGTGTCCGCCAGTTTAGGGTTCCATGCAGTGTTAGTTATTCTGAACTCGGCCCGAACTTCCGTTCTCTGAACTGGTGCTTGTGTGGTGGATGTCGAACTGGTCTCTGTTATTAAAGATATTCTTATATTCATTTCGCCGTCTGAATTTCTACACCAATATCAACTACAGTAGTATTTTATTCGAAGCGGTTTTAAACTTTAAATTTGGTAAACTATTGGTCATGTGTGGTCAAAATTATAAATCAAAGCCTACCCTCCCCCCTTTCATCATACAGTTCTGAAAGACTTGATCGCGTTCTGTAGCACCAGTGTTTGAATGTCTTGTATGTTAATCTTCACCTCTGAACACACTATTGTATTACCTTCAATATCTACTGAGATAAAGGAATAGTATTACTTTATTTCAGTAGATATTCTCAATTTTCTAAAATTCATGCAGTTGATTGAAATTTAGGACCAATTGAATTTTATTGTCTTGTACTTCTTGTGAAACAAATCTACATGTGAACAATCAATCCTATCATACACCCTAAATATATGTGTATAACTCCACAAACCGTCAATACACGGGGTATTGTCCGGGATACAGATTGCTTTGTTTGATATGATTGGAGTGCTGTCATGCTTCGTTATTCCATTGCTACTCGTGTAGGTTCCCCCTTTTGCAAAGATGAAATAGGCACAGTTGTATGACAGAGAGACATCGTTGGGGTCATTTGACGCCAAAGGTCGACTGAAGTTCAAGGTCGTGATGGAATCTTCTCTTGAGCTCGATATCAAAGTAACATCTTGTTGAGCATCTAGTGGAGGTTCCGAATAGCCGGTGTTTTTTCTGAAGGAAGGCAGGGCAGAGGTTTAATTACAAAGCCATAGTAACTAATTACAGAATGCTTCGGACCATTAATTCTTACCTGTCCTGAATAACAGTTTCACCATTTTCTCTCATCCACCCCACAATAACATCAGACCCAGCCTATGGAAAAAGAAACATCAATTGCAAAAATTTCCAATGGTCACACTGTCTAATATTTTTTGTCTTTTGAGAATACTGGTGGAATAGCTCACCATAGCCTGATTTTTGTTGAACCCTATCCCAACCCATTGATTCCTTTCTAGGTAGGCTTTTATTGAAAACGTAATCTGGTTGGTGTCATATGTCCACGTGACCAAGAAGCAGTTGACGTCATTATTTCCTAAACATCTTCCCCATTGATTGCAACTAGAAGGAGGCTGCGTATTTTCCCTGTTGCCTGCAACCAAAAATTTGAAATTGTTTTTCAAAGCTAGTAAATTTTAATTTAACCTGCAACTAACATAGTGCAGGGCAGATGGTGGAAATGAACAACTATGGAAAACTGTGTGTTGTATGAGCTAAAACTTCACCGTCAAAAAAGTTCATGGTCCTGGCCCCCCTATGATCAGAATGGCCGTGGTATTTTAGTTCATCCTGCTTGTAGAAGTCAGGGTCTGATGCTGTAGAAACAACATCTATCCCTGTTTTGGGATTATGAATATAATTCCCCTTGTCTTGTCCCTGTGCCCAGATCACACTCATAAAATTATCGCTTATGTTATAATCTGTCCTCTCGGTGGCTGAAATGAAGCATAGATAGCATTACAATGTATATCGTAAAGTATTATAATTAATTGCTTTAATAAAAGTCACTCTTAATTTCACTCTAGACTGATTGATAGTTTTTAATTACTAGTATTTTAAATCAGTACAACGTTAGATGTCCCTATTTAATATTTCATGGCCTTATTTTGCTACTTCCTTCCTATTATCTCTTTTTTGAAACAGAGTGTTCAAAAGTTCAGAAGGTCTTTATTCTCTCAATACCTCTAAGTTTCCTCCGGAAAATAATGTGTGTATACCCATCTCGCTCAAACCCCCCAGCAGCGGTCAGACTTTCTGCGCCCCCGTAAAATTCATCTCTCTGTGGGGTGGACCTTCCCCGTGTGTAATAGTCCCCAATGCGACTACGCATGCCTCGGGCAGCGCCAATAATCATGTCGGTGCAGTCCATTGGATGGGGATTGTCTGTAAATTGATGCAAAACGATAATATTTAACATTAACTTGTTGTCAAGTTGTTAGTACCAACATTTTATTTACAATTGTACCATTACTCTCGTGATTTTAAGTGTTAAAAAATAAAACAAAATATAATTGTACTAACTTCCGGTTGTGTCACTATTTCCAGCAAAGACTCCTCTTCCACAGTTTCCAGAGGGTTCTGGTTCACCTGTTGATTCAGGTTCAGCTGTTGACTCAGGTTCAGCTGTTGACTCAGGTTCAGCTGTAGATTCAGGTTCAGCTGTTGATTCAGGTTCAGCTGTTGATTCAGGTTCAGCTGTTGATTCAGGTTCAGCTGTTGATTCAGGTTCAGCTGTTGACTCAGGTTCAGCCGTTGACTCAGGTTCAGCTGTTGTCTTTGATTCTTAAAATAAATGTATGAGATATTGTAAAATAATGTCCATAACATGTATATAATTTTTCTAGAATATAGAATCGGCCTGTTGAAATTCTAAAAGCAGAATAATTCCCAAGTGTTCATTGACTTGCACAACGTACCACAGGTTTTCAGACAAATCTTTTCAGTTGACACCACTTTATGCTGATGGTAGCTAGCTTTTCCTGTGCTTGAATCATAAGATCCTCCCCATGCCATGATGTAATGCCAGCAGTTCCCATCAGAAAGAGAAAAGTCGGCATCGTCACCAGTGACTAGTTTTCGAGTAAATGTAACTGAAGTCTTCCCGCCTACTCGACTTCCGGAAACATTGTACACATTCTGGGTTGCATCTATGATTGGTTCTGAATAGGTCCTTGCAAATCTATGATGAAAATAAATAGTATAACATTAACACAACGTATCGCATTTTTGGTAAATATTTCCAATTAAACATAAACCTGAATAATTAATTGCTAATCGAGTTCTATGATTCTATATTACCTGTCTGTAAGCACCACTTTACTTGATGAATCCACCCAGCCTAGATACACGTCAGTGTTTGCCTATAAAAGAAAAAAAAAGTGACAAAGAAAATTAACAGTCACAAGCGAGTTTACCACGGATAAAAATGCTCTTCTTGAACTTATTTATGCTTTTTAAATGCAATATATCCTGTTAGAAATAGTGAATTTACCATTTTTTGATCATCTGAAAACCCAAGAGCCAACCATTGAGTTTCTGGGACATCTGCAGTCATTGTAAACGTGACGTCATCTGTAGCAGGATACTGAATCCAAGTGAGTTCATATGGACAGCTGGCTTGGTCACATGATTTATGACTGCCTTGACAGGAAGTTGGTTCTGGTGTGACTTCTGGTTCTGACGTAACTTCCGGTTCCGCTGTACTGTTGGAATCGTTTGCTCCAGGAGAGTAGCCAGGAAGATACGGAAAATGTTGACAACCTGATCTGAAATCTATAATTTAACTGACTCAGTGTCATGGCTTTTTACTAGACCCTATTTTCTTTTTCATAAAACTATGGGCATTGTTACCATTAACACCAATACTAGTATTTAACAGAGACAAGAAATGAAAGAATCCGTTATTGTAAACTCTGTCAATGAATGATAACTTACTTGTTGGTTTCCAGCCGATTCCTACCCATGTGTCAGTTTTCACTTTCAAGACAACTTCTATTTCTTCCTCACGCTTAAACATTTAGGAAAAAAATTGAATCAGGATGTAATAATGATTTGTTTTGTTATACCTTTAAAATTTAGCTCCCATACATATCTTAACAGAAAACTCATACATTGTTTAACAGAACAGGCATATTTTTTTTAATGTTTGCCCGTTGAGTGAGATATTGGACCTATCGATTAGATGTTGGACCGTTTACACGTATGTCATGCACACAATGAGTGGGATCAGCTAAATCTAATTTGCATTCGACAGTAACGGAATTGACTGAGTTTAACCTCAGTATACATCCTAAAAGACAGCACAAGATACATGCATGTCAAAAAATTAATTAAAGATATAACCAAACATATATTGACTGGGTTCGAGGCCAAAATGCATTTTGTCGACCCTATCAAACTATTTCCACTACCATTTTTACTACCGGCTTCGCGACAAACAGTTTGGTTCTTGGGTCCGACAAAACGCATGATACCCTCGAACCTTGTCATTTTCTGCTATTACTAGTTTGCTTACTAAAGACATTATTTTTAATTTGCCCTTCTTTTCTTTGCTTACATGCAGAATTCTGTGTAAGAGCTGGAATCTAGAAGAGAAATCGGTGTGTGTGTATTTACTCAGGTCAAGATTGAAAGATTTAATCGAAGATTCTGAAAATAGAAAAAGAAGGACATCTAAGGAAGAGGTATCTTTGAATCAGTGTTATATACTTACATGTTTTTGAAAATTCAAAACCTCACAAGTTTTTCAAAACTGTTTTCATTCAGAATAATTCATCAAAATTAATAAACTTTTTTACACACAAGTAATTAAATGCTTGGGACGAATATTTAATTGTAAATATTGTGCATTGATACACATAAGTTTAATTAATTCTTTATGAAAACAACAAGTTTCAGTTATACTTGTTCAGAGCATTCTTTCTTTTATCTTGTAATGTTCGATTAGTTTTCTTTGTTGTCATTACCTCTTTCACAATTTTTGCCAAAGTACCCAATGTCACAGAAGCAGTATTTTTTCTGATAAAAGTCTTCAGAAGTCGAGCACTCTCCATGTCCAGAGCAATCCCCGTCTGTTTCACAATCATCTACAGAGAGATATAATTCGAGTTCTACAATAGTCGTATTGGAAACTAGTCCGAAATATCTGACGTTTTCCAGGCTTTTTTTTACGATTTTGATATTTTAGTGCCAGGGAAACTGTTTTTCTTGCACATAAAATATTAAAATGATCGTTAAAGGCCTTGAAAACGTCAGATATTTCGGACTAATTGGAAACATACCTCCATGCTAAATGTCAAATATGCTTTATAAAAGTGTTAGATAAGGTCGTCTTCAAAAAAAAAAAAAATGTTTGGTTGCCCTCTCTTGACCAGCCGAATAAAAATGGTGGGACTCTAAAAAACTTTTTTTCACATTTCAGGACACTACTTAGTATCATTTTTTTTTACTTTTTTCCCTCTTGTCCCGTCAACAGTGTTGAAATTTTCTGAAAAAGAGGATTTTCTCACCTTCCTACCGACCCGCTAATTTTACCTAGATTTAGGAGAGGGCAAGCAAACATTGCATGTATTTTAAAGATGGCATTAATTGTTTTCGAATGTGTCCCTCCATAAAAATACAATTTGATCTTTGATTTAGCAAATTTTGGCACGGCAGGTTTTATCAACCAGCACCATATTAAAGGTAAATACATACATTTTAAAGAGATTTTGAAGACTGAATTATCTTTACAATAATGTTGCTTGCCCGTTCCCGACTCATTGTAAAATAATTGGGTGGGTAGGAAGGTAAGAAAATCTTTTTTCCAGAAAATCTCATTGTATTTATTGACGGGACGAGAGGACTAATTAGAAAAGAATATAGTGTCCTGGATGAAAAAAGTTTTAAGCATTGCCATTTTTAGTCAGTCAGAGAGAGCAACAGGACAATTTTTAAAAATGGTCGTATATCTCTCGAAGGGGGTTAGAGAAAAATACATTTCTTAGTGAAAGTGTAATATAATATGATGCGAACAAGTTACCAATTCTATTTTGAACCTTACGAATATAAATTGTACCTTTATATTGACACTTTGGTCCCCGGTAAGGTTTTTTACATACACATTCTCCATTTTCCAGTGGAAAACCATTACATAGGTCACTACCTGGGGCAGCTGTATCAATTGAAAAATTTAATATCTTTTTAAATAAATGGTCTTTGAAAAGACACCGTGATAAAATATTTTAACACCGACTCAAAGAAAGTGTAAATTGGACCCTAAATTAGTCTATAAGATCATAAATACATTGTGTATAGTTTATTTTTGCTTTTTTAGCCAATTCTGTTGGTTTCAAGTAGTGAAGAGTTATAAAAAGTCTGAAAATTTGTATTACTCTGAACTAAATTGACATCTGCGCATGACCAGAAAATATACTGGCCACAGTTTCCCGCGCTCCATTCTCCCGCCTGTCTGAGCAGCTGTATGGAACAGTTTCTACACTCCTCCAACGGTAGCGTCACTTCATGGTACCGCCGTCTAAAACGTTTTTTTTTAAATTATTAAAAACTTTAAAAAGTAGAGTGAACTAATTTTAAAACCCTTTATGTTACAGGGCCCCGTACCACAGGCAATTGTTTCGTATACAGGGCATCCCGTCTTATTTTTTTAACCACAATCTGTGGTTGATAAAGTTTTCTTTCTCAAAACAAAGATCAATTTGATCAATAAATGTTCATAACATACGTGGGGTCCGATGATCCGATGAAATCGTCTCCGGCGGTCAGATTATAGATAGGTTCCTCGTTGTCATTCAGTAGGTTCAGCTGATAACCTCCCTTTAATAGCAAGCATACATCTTACTTAAAGTGTCTAAAAATTAATCTAAAAATAATATTACAATGATGTTTCTTGAAATTGTTACTCTGTGTTCAAATCCAAGAACTTGGAATAAAAATGGACGTACTGTGAGCACTGAGCTCACTATATGATACCCCGCCTCCCATATGTTACAATGGCAAAGTCCACTTTGCTCTGGTAGACCCGAAATAAGTGTCAGATCAAAAAATAAAATAGGAGGTGCACAATGGTATTATGTAATAAAGAATTTGTGAAATAATAAATTATCATTACATTTCATTCAATGGTTTAGGAGGAGTTGCGGATAAGAGATTGGTACCTTTCAATATCATAGAAAAATTGCAGTGTGAATGTTTTGCTATTGGAAACTCGATATTAGTATATGTTTCCGATCAAAAAATAAAATAGGAGGTGCACAATGGTACTAGTAACAAAGAATTTGTGAAAGTCTCATTAAATTTCATTCGGCGGAATAAGAGTAATTGCGGATAAAAGATGGGTACCCAAAGCGTAACAGACAGACGGGCGGATGGACGGACATCCCTATCACTATACTAGAGTACATGTATACCCTCCCACTTTTCATACATGAATGTCTTAATGTTGGCTTGCATAAAGATTATTCCTTAAAAGTGTTAAATGCAGAAAGGGAAAAAAGATGGAGAGAATGAGAGGTCGTTTGATTATAAAATACTCTAGTTTACTATTCACGTGTTTAACGTCATGTTAAAATGAATATTAGCATTTTTCTTTAAAAATCAATTATTAGTAAAAATCGATGTACCTGAACAATCATTAAATTGTATCATTTTTTAAATTTTAATTTGCTTTTTGAGAAATCGAAAGAATTGACTTTGAAATTCGAATTCAAATATCATACATATAGAATCTATATGTATGATATTTGAATTAGATCGTCATCATCGTTCCGTTTTTAATGTGTTAGACTAGAGGTACTGTGAGCACTCCGTCTGTCCGTCCATCTTTTACGCTTTACCCACAACTTCTCTATATATATACAAAATTTTTTTTTTTGATATATATATTTATAATATAGTCAATACGTAAATTCAAATTTAGCACGGCCCCTGTCTTTGTTAAATACTGTACCACTGAATGAAATTTAAGTGCCATTTTGTTGCACCTCTTATTCTAATTTTTTATCCGACACATATTTCGAGTCTCCCCGAGAAAAACATGGATTTTGTCATGAAATCAAATGGAAGGCGGGGGTATCATTTAGAGAGCCCAGTACTCACAGTACCTTTATAGTTAAGGGGAGAGAGATCATTAAAACAAGCTACATTGTTTTTTGTTTTTGTGATGTTTGCAGTAGTATCTTGAGAAACGTTTATGTTACCAGTGCGCATCGTATGTGAAGGTACATGTCTCCCCCAATTGAAAAGGAGGGGGGTATATGGCGATGGGGATGTCCGTCCGTCCATCTGTTACGTTTTGCGGTACCAATCTCTTATCCGCAACTTCTCTATACCACTGAATGAAATTTAATGAGACTTTCCTGCACAAATTCTTTTTAACAAGCATAAAATTTTAAATGCCATTGTGCACCTCTTATTTTAATTTTTGATCCGACACTTACCGGTATTTCGGGTCTCCCAGACCAAAAAGGACTTTGCCATTTTTTTCATATGGGAGACAGGGGTACCACTGATTGAGCTCAGTGCTCACAGTACCTTTAGTTATTTCTCTCGCTTAATTTGAGAATTGGGATGGAATATATTGATCGGGATGTCCATCTGTCTGTTATTCTTTCGGGTACTTAAGCATTTCGTATCCGTAACTCCTCTTATTCCACTGAATGAACATTTATGTGACTCTCCAGAATCTTTGTTACATAGTCTGTGCCATAGCTAGTTTACTTGGGGAATTTCCCATAGCAAAAACTGGACACTGCCATTCTTTCTATATTATTGACTGGTACCCATCTTTTATTTTAACAAGAATGGTCGTGTCATTGTTTGGCTCTCAAAATATGTGTCCGATCAAAAAGTAAAATAAGAGGTGCACAATGGTTGTAACAAATATTTTGTGAAAGTCTCATTAAATTTCATTCAGTGATATAGGAAGAGTTGCGCATAAGAGATGGGATCCCCAAAGCGTAACAGATGGAAGGACGGATGGACATTACTATATACCCTCCCACTTTTCAAGCGGGAGGGGGGTATAATGACAATGACCATGCATATTTTGCTATGGGAAACCCCCAAAATGTGTCAGATTAAAAAGTAAAATAGAAGGTCACAATGGCATTATGTAACAAAGATTCTGAGAAAGTCTCATAAATCTCATTAAAGTTCATTCAGTGGTTTACCCGGTAAGAGGAGTTGCGGATAAGAGATGGGCACTTCAAAGGGTAACAGACGGACTGACTGACAGAAAGACAGCTAGACAGAGGAAATGACGGACGAACAGACGCGCGGACATCCCGATCACTATATACCCTCCCACTTTTAACTGGAGGCTATAATTTAATTTTTCTTAACAAGTTATTTTCATGGTAAAGACTTACTTGGTGTGGGTAGGGCGTGTCCCAGCTAATGTTGATCTTAGACCCAGTAATGAGTGATGTCGTAGGACCAAATCCTGCATAAAAGTAAATGTATTAATAAATAAATTTAATTTGACAGCCATGGGATGAAAGTTATGAAACATTAATGAAATGTTATCAATAAATGGTTACATGTTTTCTGAAACACTTTGAATGAAAACATTGCTTGGAAAGGAAGGAAAAATATTTTTAAAAGGTGTAACAATTTACACTTTTTCAAAGTGGTATTTTTTTCCGTTTATGATGGATTGGCGTTGTGATGTCAAAGAAGAAGTAATGGGTTTATTGAAAGGCTGTCATGTTTGCAATTGTTAATACATCTTTACAGGTGATGGGACGGGTTTTTGTAAGCATGCATTGTCCTTAATTTAGCCTGTGGTAGTTTTCTTTCTTTTGAAAGCATTGTTAAGATACGAAAGTTAATTGTGTCATTGTTGTAGAAAATACCTACAAGTACATGGATCATGTTATATCGTACAGAAGACTTTATTTTACATGGTGGTTTTGTAAAAATATTATTTAATTGAAACAAGTTAAGTTCATTGAGATGATAAGAATTGGAAAAAAACTGGAAGGTCGTTAATCTTGTGAACTACAATAGCAAACTGTTTCTTTCAATAGGTATTTAATTCAAAATAGAAATAAAATTTAAATTCTATTGAACTGGTCATTGAACGTATCGGCATGTCCATGAAATCCAATTTCACATTCATTATCTTTTGGCACATGCTTGCAGTTTAAAATCGTCTATACATAAATTGAGAACATAATTTAGAACATTATGTATTTCATACAATTTGCGTAACAATGAATAAGAACCAAACACTGACTCGGTTACCATTTGATAAATTCTCACAGTGTCGTGTACAGAATGGATTGACTGCAATGTAATTCTCAACTTATCTGACAAATGTTTCAGCCATTAGGAAATATGCAATGTCTTAATAAAGAGTAAATCATGCTTCCAAATATGTTTAGGTAAAAAATGTATAGATAATTAAGGTAATTATTTCTGCAGTAAGATTTAGAGCAGACCCACCTTTTGGAATTCCACAAGGGCCTGTCGTTCTCAGATTATCCAAAAAATCGAGCGCATATTTCCTAGCGGGTGGAAAGCTGAGAGCAACATGACCATAGGTGTCATGCACAAAGTTGCACAAAAGAAAAAACGAAATCCAGCTTGTCCAAACGTACATTGTATCGTCTATTTTTTTCTAATGCTGAATGAGACAAGTGTTGTGTAAATTATGTCGCAGCGGGGACTTTAAACCCTCTACGGTCCTACGGCTTGGATTTGTTTGTCCGCATTCTTTGGGTCTTATGGAAAGGAATTATGTTTTTGTAATGAAGTAAGTCAAGCATTTCACGAAATCGCTGAATTGTGACTTAAAATTTAATTCAAATCCGGTACAGATGTAGTAAAACATGTGAATTAATATTTTATTAATTATATTACACATTTCCTAGCATATTGAATGGGAAATCGTGATCATATACATATATGTATGTAAATTAATTTCTCTAGGAGAAAAAGAAAATAGTACAATCATGTAAAATGTTATTTCATCTAAATTCCCACTTTATTATATTTTACAATAAATTACAATGGGGAATTTTTACATGTCAAATATGAGTTATTGATTAGGTGTAACTCTTAATCAAGCAAACAACTTATAACTTCAAAATAGTAAAATAAAAATATGGATAAAATACTAAATCCTCAAACTGAAAAAAAGTTGAAATATTTAAAAATTGATAAATAAATAATAATGGTTCTTATTATAATTTGGCTTTTATTATCTAGTCTATGAAAAAAATTCTTAGAGTTTGTAAATATTGATCAATTATGCTCGATCACTGTCATTTTTTTTTTGACTGATTGATGCCTTGTTGTTATATTTTTTAGCTCTACTGGTCAGAGACCAGAAGAGCTTATGCGATAGTAATGCGTCCGTCGTCCGTCCGTCCGTCTGTCTGTCTGTAAACAATTTTTCAAAATGCTACTCCTCCTACAGTTTTGGTCTGATTTCAATATAAGTTGGCACACAAGTAGACTACACTAAGATACACAATTCTGTATATCGGTTTTTGATTTCGATGAACGGTGTTGCCGTGGTTACTAAAAATAGAAATTTCTGTGAAATTCTTTCAAAATGCTACGCCGTCTACAGTTTTAGTCTGATTTCAGTATAACTTGGCACACAAGTAGACTACAATAAGATACATAATTCTGTGTATCAGTTTTTGATTTCGATGAACGGTGTTGCCGTGTTTAGTAAAAATAGAAATTTCTGTGAAATTCTTTCAAAATGCTCTCTCTCCTACAGTTTTAGTCTGATTTCAATATAACTTGGCACACAAGTAGACTACACTAAGATACATAATTCTGTGTATCGGTTTTTGATTTCGATGAACGGTGTTGCCGTGGTTACTAAAAATAGAAATTTCTGTGAAATTCTTTCAAAATGCTACTCCTCCTACAATTTTAGTCTGATTTCAATATAACTTGGCACACAAGTAGACTACACTAAGATACACAATTCTGTGTATCGGTTTTTGATTTCGATGAACGCTGTTGCCGTGGTTACTAAAAATAGAAATTTCTGTGAAATTCTTTTAAAATGCTACTCCTTCTACAGTTTTAGTCTGATTTCAATATAACTTGGCACACAAGTAGACTACACTAAGATACATAATTCTGTGTATCAGTTTTTGATTTCGATGAACGGTGTTGCCGTGTTTAGTAAAAATAGAAATTTCTGTGAAATTCTTTCAAAATGCTACTCCTTCTACAGTTTTAGTCTGATTTTAATATAACGTGGCACACAAGTAGACTACACTAATATACATAATTCTTTTTATCGGTTTTTGATTTCGATGAACGGTGTTGCCGTGGTTACTAAAAATAGAAATTTCTGTGAAATTCTTTCAAAATGCTACTCCTCCTACAGTTTTAGTCTGATTTCAATATAAGTTGGCACACAAGTAGACTACACTAAGATACACAATTCTGTATATCGGTTTTTGATTTCGATGAACGGTGTTGCCGTGGTTACTAAAAATAGAAATTTCTGTGAAATTCTTTCAAAATGCTACGCCGTCTACAGTTTTAGTCTGATTTCAGTATAACTTGGCACACAAGTAGACTACAATAAGATACATAATTCTGTGTATCAGTTTTTGATTTCGATGAACGGTGTTGCCGTGTTTAGTAAAAATAGAAATTTCTGTGAAATTCTTTCAAAATGCTACTCCTTCTACAGTTTTAGTCTGATTTTAATATAACGTGGCACACAAGTAGACTACACTAATATACATAATTCTTTTTATCGGTTTTTGATTTCGATGAACGGTGTTGCCGTGGTTACTAAAAATAGAAATTTCTGTGAAATTCTTTCAAAATGCTACTCCTCCTACAGTTTTAGTCTGATTTCAATATAAGTTGGCACACAAGTAGACTACACTAAGATACACAATTCTGTATATCGGTTTTTGATTTCGATGAACGGTGTTGCCGTGGTTACTAAAAATAGAAATTTCTGTGAAATTCTTTCAAAATGCTACGCCTTCTACAGTTTTAGTCTGATTTCAGTATAACTTGGCACACAAGTAGACTACAATAAGATACATAATTCTGTGTATCGGTTTTTGATTTCGATGAACGGTGTTGCCGTGGTTACTAAAAATAGAAATTTCTGTGAAATTGTTTCAAAATGCTACTCCAAATTACAATTTTAGTCTGATTATAATATAAATGTGGCATGCAAATAGACTGCACAAAGAACATAAAGAGACTTAATCAAGGATCATTATTCTATTTATTGCTGTTGAAAAGTTTCAATTTCCAACTGCTTAAGTACTTTTCTCTTCCTTTGCTATAAGTACAAACAAGTAGAGCTTCAGTCTCAACAGAGACTTCTGGTTCCATCCTTACTTTTTCTCTCTCCAGTTTGTGTAGCTTGGGTATGTCAATTTAATCTAAAGCAGTTACATGTATTATGTTATAGACGTATGGATACTAGCGTTTGCTTTTAAAAAGTGGCACATGCGCGAATTCACTACTACAGTGTATATAGATTTAAACTACTAGTACCCAACCTTAACCCCACTCCATCCAGCTTTCTTTGAAATCTAACCGTACTAGATAGATTAAGAAAAAATAGGGACGTGCATATATTGTATTTTATGTAAGATATGTGAGGAAAGTTCATCTTAAGTATCCTACCAGAATGGGAGAGGATCGTACATTTTGGCCGTGGTTTGCGACGATGGTATTATAGGTACATGTTTATAAACAAAACTAGAGGTACTGTGAGCAATGAACTCACTAAATGATACTCCCTCCTCCCATATGAATACTTATAATGGCAGTGTCCATGTTTTGCTTTGGGAAACCCAAAATATGTGTCAGATCAAAAAGTAAAATAGGAGGTGCACAATGGCAATATGTAATAAAGATTCTGTGAAAGTCTCGTCAAATTTCATTCAGTGGTATGAGAGGAGTTGCGGATAACGGATGGGTACCCCAAAGCGTAACAGACGGACGAACGGACATCCCGATTACTGTATACCCTCCCGCTTTTTAAGCGGGGGTATAATAAAATTTGACGACATTTCACGTATCATATACATTTCACTCGGTCCATTTGACATATAAATCAGGGTTATAACACATAAGGAAAATAAAAGTTTGATTTTGAGAATTTTTCTTTAAAGTACTTAAACTGCACGTAGCAATTTTATAGCCCCCAAATCCCACTTTTAATGTGTCAGATGATAAGATCGTTCACCGGCGAAGTTTCTCATTCACGGTTTTAATTTTAGATCAGTAACGTGACTTGTTTACAAAAGGTGCAAATTTTAGGACATAGCGTAAAAAAGAGAGTCTACATATTTAAATCGGGTCCGTGTAACACTTTACAATTCAGCTTTCTAAAATGATTTTGGGTTTTAGAATGTTAATATATTAGTTCAAATTTCTAACTTTCAAAAACTCATACTGATTTAGTATATTGAAATTTATTATTTTTAGTTCAAAAACCTTTATTTTCAAATTTCCAAACAGGTTTTAAAATTTTGATATTTTAGATTTTTACCTTAAATGTTCAAAATTCAAATTTCCAAAAACAATTTTTGTCATTTAAACGTTTGAGTTTTTAATCTACCGTTTGTTCAGAAATTTACGCTTAACAATCCAAAACACAAGTACATATTTTGTCTTTTGATTACATAATATTTACTTCAAACTTCTATATTTCAACTCTGAACCGTTTCAAATATTTAGATCTTTGATTCAAACACTCGAATTTCACATATTCAACAACTCTTTTTTTTTACATTTTGGGTTTTAAGTCTTTTACTTCAAATATCCAAAATATCAATTTCCAACCCTTGTTTGAATTTTTTTTAAAACTCTTTTGAGTTTTTGAAATATAGAAATTTGAACTATGCAATATATTAACATTCTAAAACTCAAAATCATTTTAGAAATTTGAATTGTTAAGTGTTACACGGACCAAATCGTGACTATATTGTAAGCCTACGTTTTCCAAATTATCATTTACCGGTAGTCGTAGTAGTGTGTATTTTGGAACACCCATAAAGGTGTAGAAATTCAAATGAATTTTATTTTTACATAAAAAATAAAGAAATATATCGATATTCAAACATTGTTCAAAAGATTTCAACAGCATATACTAGTGAGCGAGTAAGTAAATCATTTATTTATTATAATGACATATGTTATACAGAACAATAAGTACGTATTGAAAATGGAGAGGGGGGTCTTGTTGGGGGAAAAATCAACTTACCCTAAAAAAAAAAACCTGACCCCCAAAAAATAGTGGGGGCCGGTGGGGTTATTCCAAGTTATTTTAATCAAACACTGTCTACCCTTATGTTAAACCTTATTTTCCAAAACTGCAACCAAAAGTGTGTGTTGGGGTGGGGGTGGGTGCACAACCGGACTTTCAATGAACATTTTCTATATTAAAAAAAACATGCCTGGAAAAAAAGTAGGGGGGTTATAGAGATACATTACACTTTCTAGACATGTCATAGACAAAATGTTTATAACGATAAAATTAATGTTTAAAAATGACCATTTAAGGTAGTGTTCATTTGGACGATCTACATTAGGGAATGTTACTACAGAGAGTGCTTTTTTTAACATTATTTATAATTAATATTTTTTCGGTTTTCTAATATTATTTCAAAAGTAACGTTTTAATCGGTTGATCTACTAGTAACCAGTTGATGACAAAAAATATTGATCGGGTGCAAGACACGAATTAAAACTAGATCGGGCTCGGACTGCCTCTATTTTTGTTGTCAAAGACGCTTGACAGGAACTCGAGCAATTTCAAAACAAGAGTGCTGTGAATAATTTTCCTTAAATGATGGGCACTGGAGCAAGTTCAACTGTTCCTGAAGGTGTTTCTGCCAACCCTCGTCTAGTTCACACCGACAGATTATCTAAACGTGACCACAAGGTATTTCACTCTGATATCGATTACATGGTGTATGATAATGTTTCTATTGAAAAATGCAATCTAAACATGTAAACATAAAATTTAAAATTCGACAACGTTGTGAATGATTGAGCTAAAAATATAGCAAATAAAATTCTCCAATAAGAAATAGCAATATTATGTTTTGAAGTGTTTTTATATTTTTAAACCATCCATATCTAGCAATACAAGTTGGACACCCCCGTTCTGATAGATGTAGAACACGGATCAGTGAGGTACAGGTACGGCCAATATGACGGGGAACCTGCCGACAAAACAAGAAGAGTGGAGCGCCCATTCAAAGGGGAAGATAAAGTAGGCAAACAGAATTATTTCTACCATGCAAGGCTCAACGACTTTAGTGAAAGTAAGGACTTTTGATGACTGGAATTCTATTAAATCAAAAGATCAGTAGGGATGTTTATTAGTATCACTGTATGTGTTGATCAATATACATGATATAGGCCATGTAGATGTACATAATTAACTCTCCTATTGATGATGCTTTAATACATACTCCTTGTCAGATTAACATGTCGGCATACTTTATAAACTTTAATGTCTATGTTTAATGTTTATCATCTAGACCAGTGTTTTCCCTTTATTTCAAAGTAAAGGGTTAGAGATCAGTTGTAACAGGCTAGGGGCTGAGGTTTATGAACAAAATCTCTGTGGACCTATAACAACAAATTTTTATTTCAAAGCAGCCAGCGGTCAATTTGGCCGGTAGCCGGTTCTTAGGGAAAACACTGCTAGACTAGTGTATGACACATGTAGAGGAATTATTTTTAATTCTTTATTTTAAAAAAGAATCAAATGCAGCATTAGAGGACCAACACAAGTTCCGTATGGTAACTCAAGGCCCTGCTCGAGCAAAGGACAAAAAAGTGTTCTATGTGTACAGCATTGGGTGGAATAAGAACAAGGATGGCAAAAAAGTGATGCCAAGCATGTCAAAAGAAGAGGGAAAAGACTATGCCTGGCCACAAATCAGAAAACCTAATGAGGTGTATTATAACTTGTCCTTTGATAAGGAAGGTAAGTTATATGTGTCAGAATGGTGTTAAAAGTCCTTCTAAAAATTGGATTGAACTAGAGGTACTGTGAGCAATGAGCTCACTAAATGATACCCCCGCCTCCCATAAATCCATAATGTCCATGTTTTGCTATATATTGTTTTACGGTAATGTGTAAAGAGGAATAATTCCTCGAATCAAATGTTATTCAGAAGCCGCCATATGTGATGTCATAGGTAAGAATATAATGGCAATGTCCATGTTTTGCTATGGGAAACCTAAAATAAGTGTCGAATAAAGTAAAATAGGAGGTGCACAATAGCAATATGTAATAAAGATTCTGTGAAAGTTTCATTAAATTTCACTCAGTAGTATAAGAGGAGTTGCGGATAAGAAATGGGTACCCCAAAGCGTAACAGACGGACAGACGGACATAATGATTACTTTATACCCTCCCACTTTTCAAGTGGGGGGTATAAAAATTAATAGATATCATGAGGAAAAGTTTGATTACAATGAAATATATGAAGATAATGAACAGTACTCAAGTTCTAGAGTCCAATCAAACAATGAGAGCAGAGTACACATGGACCTCTAATACATTAGGGATGGGATCAGGTGCCATGGAGGAGTAAGCGTCCTTGACAAACTGTCACACTTGCCATTAACTATTTTCCTGAATAATAAGAATTAACTTTAAAGGCATATGAAATTTTTCTTTAGTATTTTTATAGTTCAGTTTGCTTGCAATTTAAATACTGCTAATTTAAAATAAATTTTATAACAAAATAATGAAAATCCATTGAATCTTTTTTTTTGAATCAGCCAGAGAAGGTGTTGAGGAGACATCTGAGGAGGACCGACTTCAGCAAAATTTGTCCTCCACAGCAAACCGACAACACATACAGTAAGTTTTAGTTTCTAGATCAATTAATTATAAAAATTAAAGTACTTTGCTATTTAAAAATGTAAATCAGACAGATTAATAAAAAAAAAAATGAAAAAAGAACCTTTTTGGTAATTTAGTAAAAAATGTGAAATTAGTGCATTTTCCCCAATAAATTGTGTTGAAAATTTGGACGACAGTGTTTGTAAATAAAAAAATATTTTCCTGCATATTCTGAATATATTTCCCCTTGTAGATTACTGCTCTCAGATGAGGATTCTGTAAAGGAAGTAAGGAAGTACATTGCAGCTAAAATCCTCAAATCAGCCTGTGACATCCATGTTTGTTATGAGAAGCAGGAACTCAGGTAAAGAACGTCTCTTGGCGTAGAATACCATGGATTAAGTAAATGCAACACATCAGAAGAAATTTGAAGATATTCTTTTTTTTCTATTTTTTCAAATATACACAGATACAAAGGTACAAAATTTCATTGACATACAAAAACTAATTCTTTTTAAACATAAAAAAAGATGTTGTTTTGAAGTTTAATGTTGTAGAATAAATGAAAAAAAGAGCTCATATATAGACCCATCAACATGAAACTCCTTTATAGTTTATAGAAACATACTAAAGTATTACATGTTTATACTTTTTAAAAAAAATTATACAAGAACTGAAAGTACTGCAAGTCTATATTTCTGATTGAACACATTGCAGAGAGGAAGATGTAGTGGGGGATTTGAGAAAAGAAGAAGGGAATGCAAAAACATTCTATGTAGACCTACTGCTTATCTAAAATTCTTATGGCTGACTTTGACAGATGCATGGGAAAAAAAAAAAATCAACAGATAAAATAAAAATGAAGGAAGTACTCAAATTTTATAATGCAGTTTACATAGACAATCAGGATTTTTGCTATCTGATATGCACATTAAGTTCCAAGAAGTTTTGTAAAAGAATTTTGAATGTGTAATTTGTTAAACTATGAACATGTTCAATTTTCAAAGGATATCTTATATATTTCATTAACATTGTAAACTAAATTTGCCAGGATTTGTTTAACCTTGGCATGTTTGATAACTTTAGTACAATTTTTTTGTTTTATACTAGACTCACTTTTTCATGTCATTGTACTTGCTGACCTTATATACGTGTATATGATACTATTTATTTTATCTTAACTGATATAATTTTAAACATTTGTTTTTTTTTAAACTTCTAAATTCATATGAAGTTGTAATATAGAACAAACATAAGTTGTAATATAGAAGAACCATAATTTTTCCAAGCACTTTCATTCTTGCATTTTTCCTTAATGTAACAAATGAAAACTACATAATATTTAGTCATTTCTTGTATACTTGTAATGTATATATTCAGATTTATTCTGCATTGTTTTTATATACCTTAAATTAATCTGAAGCTGGACTTCTTTATTATTATCACAAATATTATTAGCTCACCTGAGCCGAAGGCTAAGTTTTTCTGATCACATTTTGTCAAACTTTTCACATTTTCGACTTCTTCTCAAGAACCACTGGGCCAATTTCAACCAAACTTGCCACAAAGCATCCTTGGGTGAAGGGGATGTATATATTCAAGGGGAGATTTGGGAATTAATGTAAATTTGGTGGCATGTTTTAAAAATCTTCATCTCAAGAACCACTGTGCCAGGAAAGATGAAACTTATGGGGTAACATCCTCAGGTAGTGTAGATCCAAGTTTGTTCAAATCATGACCCCCGGGGGTAGGGCGGGGCCAAAATGGCCGACCAAAGTTTTACATAGAAATATATTGGAAAATTCTTTAAAAATCTTCTTCTCAAGAACCACTGTGCCAGGAAAGATGAAACTTATGGAATAACATCCTCAGGTAGTGTAGATTCAAGTTTGTTCAAATCATGACCCCCAGGGGTAGGGCGGGGCCAAAATGGCCGACCAAAGTTTTACATAGAAATAGATAGGAACATTCTTTAAAAATCTTCTTCTCAAGAACCACTGTGCCAGGAAAGATAAACTATATAATACCCTCAGGTAGTGTAGATTCAAGTTTGTTCAAATCATGACCCCCGGGGGTAGGGCGGGGCCAAAATGGCCGACCAAAGTTTTACATAGAAATATATAGGAACATTCTTTAAAAATCTTCTTCTCAAGAACCACTGGGCCAGGAAAGATGAAACTTATGGGATAATACCCTCAGGTAGTGTAGATTCAAGTTTGTTCAAATCATGACCCCTGGGGGTAGGGCGGGGCCAAAATGGCAGACCAAAGTTTTTACATGGAAATATGTAGGAAATTCTTTAAAAATCTTCTTCTCAAGAACCATTGTGCCAGAAAAGATGAAACTTATGGGGTAACATCCTCAGGTAATGTAGATTCAAGTTTGTTCAAATCATGACCCCTGGGGGTAAAATATATAGAAATATATAAAATTCTTTAAAAATCTTCTTCTCAAGAACCACTATGCCAGGAAAGATGAAACTTATGGGGTAACACCCTCAGGTAGTGTAGATTTAAGTTTGTTCAAATCATGACCCCTGGGGGTAGGGCGGGGCCAAAATGGCAGACCAAAGTTTTACATAGAAATATATAGGAAAATTCTTTAAAAATTTTCTTCTCAAGAATGACAGAGCCATAATTCATCAAATTTATATGGAAGCATGCTCAGGTAGTGAAGATTCAAGTTTGTTCAAATCATGACCCCAGGGGGTAGGATTGGGCCAAAATGGCCGACCAAAGTTTTACATAGAAATATATTGGAAAATTCTGTAAAAATCTTCTTCTCAGGAATGACAAAGGCATAATTCATCAAATTTATCTGGAAGCATCCTCAGGTAGTGAAGATTCAAGTTTGTTCAAATTATGACCCCCGGGGGTAGGGTGGGGCCAAAATGGCCGACCAAAGATTCATATAGTAATATATAGGAAAATTCTTTAAAAATCTTCTTCTCAAGAATGACAAACCCATAATTCATCATATTTATATTGAAGCATCCTCAGGTAGTGAAGATTCAAGTTTGTTCAAATCATGACCCCCCGGGGTAGGGTGGGGCCAAAAAGGCCGACCAAAGTTTTACATAGAAATATATAGGAAAATTCTTTGAAGAATAGCAAATCCATGATTGATCATGGGATTACTTTGGATTTTTACTTTTCAATAATAAACCAATTTCTACTTTTTCATAGCTACAGTACTCAGGTGAGCGATGTGGCCCATGGGCCTCTTGTATATTAAACAATGTATACTACTTTGTTGTTGCTTTGTTTTCTCCAGAAAATATGTGCCTTTAATTGTTGTGCATGGTTGTTAACACAAATTAAGAGACATTTTTGTTAAAATAAAGGGCCAGTAGGTATTAATGTTTCCATGAAATCTACATGAATCATCTTATTTAATGAAAAGAGTAAAGAAAACGAACAATGACTGATCTAAAAAAAATCTTTAAACTGTAGATGACAAAAACGTGGACCCCTGAAATTAAGAGGTGGGGTTAGGTGCCTTAGTCTAAGGAGGAGTAAGCCCTGTTTCTCATGATGATCAATTGAAAACTATATTTTAATTAAATAGAAATTTTCTTGTTTCATCTAGTGAATTTATGACTACACTATGCTGTTTCGAGAATTGCTTACATGATAATGACCTACTGTTTCTTTCAACCCAATCCCTCTTTACCCTTTTTCTTTAGGGAAGGATCTAGATCTTCAGGTTTAATTAAAGCCTATGTTATATATAAAATCATTTCAAACTTTGTGATAAATTAAAGACTGAGTAGTTCATACAAAACTAAGTTCATAATTTTTTTTCCATAAATTAGGCACTCAATATTATAAAATACAAGTACAAGGAACACGTAAGTACATGATTTTTGAGTGTTATCAAAGGATTAAAGTCTGAATTTCAGGCTTCGAGTAGAGGTAAAAGTAATCTATTTCCACACAAATTTTTCCAGTAATGAACCTTTTATACACACCTCTTTTTAACCACTTTGACACAAACTTGGATTCCCAGAACTAAAAACAAGAGAGTACAAACAGCAAATGTAACAATTATGATTATCAAGGAAATGGATAAAGTCCTTTCTTTTTCTTTGTTCTTTAGGACTGGAAAATAAAATTAATTTAGTGTAAGAAGAATACTCAAATATTACAAAATGAATGCGCAACATTTTATATTGTTTACATGCTTAGAACATGTATAACAAAAAGTAACTTAAAAGGACTTCACAATAAAATTTCATATTCCGAAACAAAACGGCACCAGAAGAATAAAAAAAAAAACAATTGTAAAATGGTTTTGTTACAGACCAGTCGAGGTTTGTTAGTCAACGAAATTTAAATTTTCTATAATGGTCATGATGACACACGCGTCTTGTTTTAACCATCTAATAGTTTTTCTCTAGCCAGATAATAAATTTTCACCTTAAATCCAACTTTTCAAAAATATCTCTGTAGTTTTAAAGGACTGACTAGGGTTAAAATTGAAGATAGAAAGATAGAATAAAGACACCAAACAGTAAGCTTTGATCTTTGAAATCATTTATAATAAATTAATCATTTGATATTATCATTACAAAACGGGACGGAATGAATAAATATCCTACAAACCTTCTGTACAGGGTATACAAATTTTCTCATTTGTTGTGAATGTTGTATTGTTACTGTACGTTATACTAGCATTGATAATGAAAACACCTCTGGTAAAGATAAAATAGGCACAGTTATATGACAAAGAAAAATCCCTGGGATCGTTTGTAGCCAAAGGTCTGCTGAACGTCAGAGTAGTGACTGAATCTTCTGTGGAGCTCGATATCAAAGTGATATCTTGTTGGCTATCCACGGATATCTCCGACTGGCTGTGTGTTTTTCTGGAAGTAAAGTCATCCAGATAATCAGAAAATGGACAAATATTCCAGTATTCGAAATTCAAAAACAGATCTGTTATCCTTTGAACACAGATATTGAAGAATAATTTGAAATCATGATTTCACCTGTCTTGAACAATGGTATCCCCATTCTCTGCTCTCCATCCCACAACAGTATCAGCACCAACCTTGGAAGTTTAATAAAATATGTGAAAAATCACAGGAAAATCAACAACATAAATTTTGACTAAGATCATCACACCTTACCATTGAATTAATGCTGTTGAAGCCAATGCTGACCCATTGATTTATTTCTAAATAAGCTTTGATTGTAAAGGTAATTCGACTGGTGTCATAAGTCCATGTGACTAGGAAACAGTCTGTGTCATTGCTTCTTGAACAGTTTCCCCATTTGTTGTGGCACCTTTCGGAGGGTGGAATATTTCTTTGACCTATGAAATGTAAAAGCGTATATAATATATTGCAAAAAGGAAATCGTCGGGAAACTCGAGGTATTTTCGTAGTAATAATGACTTGACAGTACTGTTATAAGTATGGGTTGAATGTGAAATCGCGTTAAACACTTGGACAAGAATGGCAGACCACTTTTCAAACGTTGAAAAATTTATTTGTGATACACATTAGTAATACTATATAACTACCATCAAAGAAATTAAAGTTTCTGTAGGCCCTCTGATCCTGAGTTCCGTGATATTTTAATTCATCCTCCTTGAAGAAATAAAAATGTGTTTCTTTTATAAATGTTTCATTTCTTGTTCTCCATTTTAGAGGATGATATATTGTATCTTGTCCCTTGGCCCAGATCAAGTGCATAGTATTGTCATCGATGTCGTGATCAGTCCTTTCATTTGCTTAAAAAAGAAATGACAATAAAAGTCTTATTAGAAAAGATGACTACACTTCGAAAATAAATCTTTGAAAAGAGAATCCAGATAAACCTCTCAATTTTCTTCGAAATAGAATGTACGTATAGCCATCCTTTTCAAATCCAACTGCTGCTGTTAAACTGTCTGAGCCATAATACAAATGATCTCGGAGTGGAGTAGCAAAGTCACGTGTATAGAAGTCACCTATCCAACTGCGCATGCCTCGAGCGGCCCCTATGACTAAATCTGTGCAGTCCATTGCAGAAAGATCGTCTGAAAAAGAAATATTTTCCTTACCTGTTTGATAAATGGTTCAAAAAGACCTTTTAGAATCTCTATTCCGGTGTATAACTACCTCCAGTCGTATCGTTGTTACCATTGTAGATTCCTCTTCTACAATCTGAGTTAGATGACGTCATAGGCTCTGCTGAATTTGTAGAATTAGAATT